GGCAGTTGGCACAAGTATCAAAAAATTGTCAATTTTTTGAGAAAATTTTCTAATCACGAGTCCTGTCCTAATGGCAAATTAGTGTGATTCAAAATAGCATGGATAAAATGAAAAGACAAAAGCAAGCTTATGAAAAAAATAAAAGTAAAAAAAAAAAAAAGAACAATAGGAATATGGATTTTCCAACTCTAGTGGAAGCCGCAAATTGCGCGTTATATACAGAGACAAAATAAATAAATAAAATAAAATTAAAATAAATCATTCTACATTATCTTATTTGAGCTGTATTTCAACAAATACTACGCATCTACGAGCAATGAAGATGACTGATCATAGATTTGTAGCATCGTTTGATCAATACTACTGTAGAAGATAGACTAAGTTTCTTTTTTCTTTCCAAACACTATCATGAGACTGTACATTTGAGAAAATGCACTATTTTCTCACTTAATAGCATCTGATGTCTCCAGGCGTAAAGCAAAACTGTGAATATATTGGTTGCAGAGGTGCCTGAAATAGCCTTGCAGTTATTTCTAACATATATCTATAAAAAGAAATTAAATTTAGCAACAAGAAAATAGAAAATAAAGCACATAAATAAATATAAAAGCTCATATACAGCAGATAAATAAACTAAGTATATATTAGTGTATGATCTGGATGTCAGGGATAACTAATAATTTATATCACACGTTAAATTTACGTTATACATATGTGTTTGTTAGACTAATTTAAAAGACTAAATTATCTGTAAAATGAGATTAATTTTTGCACCTGCTTTCTACTTTTATAAATATATTTAAATGGAAATGACTTTGGGAACGTTACTTGGATAAGAGATAAATAATAGTATACATATACTTTGACAATAGCATTTATTACAATTACATCCAGTAATATTCAATTCATCCAGTATATTGTTCCAAAGATAGCGAAAGAAAAGGCTCATAGCAACTTCACTTACATATAGAATATGCTTATAAAAATTTTACTTAGGTATAGACTCTCTAATTTTTATGCAAGACTGTTCTTGTAGCAATTTTGCTTACGTATAGAGTCACTAATTTTAACCGTTTGATCTCTGGTTTTTCTAGTTCATACAATAGCGCGTCACTAACACCGACAATTTTGGATCGTTGGCTGAAAGTTCTTCAAATGATTCAATTTTGATCACAGTTTTAAAGTTTTCCTTTATGAATTTCAGAATAATTTCTTTAAATGATTCATCACCATGTCTATTTGCCAAACTCAACATCTGGCACGCATTATCCACTTTCAGATGTACCAGCAAATCAATTTTGCAAGCATCGCGGAGTGACAAAACTTCATATTTGTCAGCAGCATAATAGAGGTCGTACGCGTCGTCAAAGTCATGAGTTTTCGTCACTCCAGAGTAGAGATACAGCAAGAGATCGTTCATTATTTCAGCTCGTATATCCGTTATAACTATGATATTGCTTGCAGATTCGCTTGTATCATGATTGAACATTCTGTCAAATACTGGTGATCTTGCTTGCAGAATGTTTCTGTGTGATTTGATCTTTACACCACTAACATCTAATGTGACATCTGAGGTAATAGTTTGATCCAAAATCTTTGAGAAGTCATTCGAAAGCTCTTGCAGTTCTTCCAATTCCAAGTTGTTTGGAGATAAACTTTCGGGCAAATCCGATTCAGTAGAATTCTTAAACTCTAAGTAACAAATTATTTTTATAGGAAATTGCTGAGGCGAGAAATCTTTTGGCTTAAGAAATAAGTCAATAGGGTTATCACCAGCATGACCTTTTGTGGAAGATCTAACAATACAGTCAAGGCAGATGTTATTCGCATCAAATACTAGACACGTAGAACCTGTAAATAGGTCGATGGAATCTATATAACAAATTAGTCCAAATATATTTTGGCCATTGTATAATGTCAGATGGTTGCTTTCTTTTTCACCCGTGACAGAAAAGTTTTCACTCTCAAAGAAACTATCAATTTCAATATCACCTTTCTTAAATCGCAATTCAATAAAGATCAAATTCATGGATGAGTTTTTAAAATAAATTATCCTTTGGAAGACGCCAGACATGATGAATGTTGAGTTTCGCTTTGAAAGGTAAAAATAAATTATAATTTTAAAACAGTTACCTTCACCGATATCTAATCTATAAAGAACAATAGAGTCTTTATAATATTATCATTTTGCAGAATGTTTCATTACAAAGGTGATATAATCCTGCTATTAACTATCCCTTCCTTTTTTAGATAATAATTTTTGCAACGATAAGATGTAAGCACATCCTAAAGTATCATTTTTGTGTTATCGCATTTATAAATGGTGTTCTATAATGACAACAGAGAATAAAAGCTACTTATTTTAGGGACACCGATAAATCGAAAATAAGGTTATTACGTCATAAAAATTTTAAATCCAATTCAAATATTTCTTTTTAAAAAAATTGGATATATTTTCGTTTTTCAATAATTGAATTTATTATTTATGAGGTTATTTCAGTCTTAGTTTTGTATGTGTTTATATTCCAATTTGTACCAATTTATCTATTTTCGCATATTAATCTATCGATGTTCTTATAAACTTGTTTTTTTACTACAATGGCATCACTCAACTCAGTAAACACGAATCTCAAACAAAATAAATAAAGGAAAAGGTAGGGATAAAAAACCACTTATCATTGGACATATTTGATATAAATATTAGGAATCACTGTACTAAGTTGAGAATTTACAGAAAATTTAATAAAAATTGCCTTGTTACTTGAGCATTAAAACTGTTGCCACAAATGTCAAAAGATTGGCAATATTTTATGCTAAATTTTTAATCACGAGTCCTAATGGAAAACTAGGGTGATTCAAAATAGCATGAATAAAATGAAAAAACAAAGTAAGCTTATGAAAAGAATAAAAGTAAAAAAATTCAATAGGAATATGGAGTCATCAACATTAGCGGATCAGGCCTGAAAGCGAGACGGAAAAGAGAAAATACTGGTAGGAGAACTATTTCAATATTACATAATATTCGGGAGGAGTTTTTCTGTTCTTAACATTAAACAATTCACGGTAATTAATTTAATCTCGGCGAAGGAGCAATGCAATATAAAAATTATATTCGTTAAAAGCAATTGGTAGTTATAGATTTTTATTATTCCCGAAAAAAAAAATTAAAATTTGAAATTTATTTAATACCAATTTTTACTCTTTTCCGTCTTGATATATATGGGCTTTCAGCTCTTTAGCGGATGCCGCAAGTTTCAACTGTATACAATGACCAAAAAATAAATTATTCAACGTTATCATTTTTATGCTGTATTTCAACAAATGCTACGCATCTACGAACAATGAACGAAGATTACTGATCATAGATTCGTACTATCTATAATCAATACTACTGTAGAAGATAGATTTTTTTTCTAAACACTATCATGAGACTCTAAATTTTCGAAAATGCCATATTTTCTAACATCATAGAATCTGATGTCTCCAACTGTAGAGCAAAACTGTAAAAATATTGGTTGTAGAGATGCCGTGAACGTCTAGAACTGTAAAAAGAAATGACTAATGAATAACAAGAAATCTATAAAAAAAAAATAGATTTAGTATCTTTTTCTAGCATATTTCTTACAGTAATTTCTAGCATATATCTATAAAAAGAAATTAAATTTAGCAACTTTTTCTAGCATATTTCTTTCAGTTTACTTTTGAAAGTTGAGGCAAAGAATATCTTCTCTTTAAATATGAATAATTTGTATAGTAAATCATGGTAGTTCTGGTTTAAGGCTGTTTTTTCGAAGGCTCCGTCGTAATATGAAATGATGCTTTTTTGCGAATAATATGTTATTTTTATAACTGCTGTTAGTTTGCACCTGTTATTTATGACTGTTAGGTCATGTTTAGCTTATCTAATGGAGTCAATTTGAAAAAAAGCCACAGTACTGTGAAAATGAAAAGCGTTTGCTGTCTATTTTTATTATAATTTTTTTTTAATATTTAAAAACTCCAATGCTGCATGACCTAGGCTCATAAAAATTTGTAAAAACTGAGAATGAGTCAGTGATTTTGATAATTTTCAAGTAAGTGGATAAATGGTGCTAAATTAGCGATCTGAAGTCCAGAGTGGTGAATTTCAGTTTTTTCTATGAAATCTGAGAACATAAATTAGTTCTGAAAAGCAGGAACATTTAAGCCCGACATATTGCAAAGGAAGGGAGGAGGGATGCAAAATTTTTAAAACCAACATTTATACATTAAAGTATAGATATTTAGAAAACTTTTTCTCAACTACTTTACAATTTGTCAGCTATAAATATGCTTCAAGCGATGCTCTGTGATTACGCTTGTTTTGTTTGCTTACGGTTGTATAATTTGTTTACGGATCGAACAAATAACATTTAGATGTTGAAAATTGTCACCAAGGTATTTTTTTCAACCGAAAATATTAAAACTGATTGCTCAGTTTTTTTTCTCCTTAGAATTTAATTCAGAGAAGCAAAATTTTTTTTTTACCTGAAATAATCATAAATGTCTGATTTTTTTCTACTTAAAGTAGTAAGTTCTACTTAAATAATAAGCATGCTATGCCAGGCTTATTATTATTATTATAATTTTTTTATTTTTTGATTCTGGAATTTATAGCTTTAATTCAAATTTATGTCTCATATAAAGCACATAAATAAATATAAGAGCTCATATACAACATATAAATAAACTAAAGATTTATTTGTGTATGAGCCGGGTGTTAGGGATAACTAACAAATTATATCACACGTTACATTATGTGTAAATATCATACATATGTGTTTGTTAGACTAATATAAAGGACTAAATTATCTACGAAGTAATATTTAATGTTATACCTGATTTCTACTTTTTGAAACTTATTTAAAAAAAAAATGATTATAAGAACATTATTGGTTTATGAGATAAATAATAGTATACATATCCTTTGACAGTAGCCTTTATTACAATTAAATCCAGTAATATTCAATCCATCCAGTATATTGTTCCATAGATAACAAAAGAATACGCTTATAGCAATTTTGCTTACGTATGGAGTCACTAACTGTTACGAAAGAATAGGCTTATAGTAATTTATTTACTTACATATAGTGTCACTAATTTTTAAGAAAGAATATGAGTATAGCAATTTTACCTATGTATAGAGTTACTAATTTTATGTGTTTGATCCCTGTCTTTTCTAGTTCATACAATAGCGCATCACTAACACCGCCAATTTTGGTTCGTTAGCTGAAAGTTCTTCAAATGATTCCATTTTGACCATAGTTTTAAAGTTTCTCTTTATGAATTTTAGTATATTTTCTTTAAATGATTCATCACCATGTCGATTGGCCAAGCTCAACATCTGGCACACATTATCTACTTTCAGATGTACCATCAGCAAATCCATTTTGCAAGCATCGCGGAGTGACAAAACTTCATATTTATCAGCAGCATAATAGAGGTCGCAAGCGTCGTCAAAATCATGAGTTTTCGTCACTCCAGAGTAGAGATATAGCAAGAGATCGTTCATTATTTCAGCTCGTATATCCGGGATAACTATGATATTGCTTGCAGATTCGCTTGTATCATGATTGAACATTCTGTCAAATACTGGTGATCTTGCTTGCAGAATGATTCTGTGCGATTTGATCTTAACTCCACTAACATCTAATGTGACATCTGAGGCAATAGTTCGATCCAAAATCTTTGAGAAGTCATGCGAAAGCTTTTGCAGTTTTTCCAATTCCAAGTTGTTTGGCGTTAAACTTTCGGGCGAATACGATGGAGTAGAATTTTTAAACTCTAAATAACAAATTATTTTGATAGGAAATTGCTGAGGCGAGAAAGATTTTGGCTTAAGAAATAAATCAAGAAGTTTACCTCTTATGGAAGATCTAGCATTACAATCAAGGCAGCTGTTATTCCCATCGAATATTAAACAAGTAGAATTTATAAATAGGTCAATTGATTCTACTGTACAATGTAGCATAAAATCATCAAAGTAATTGAGTAATATCAGATGGTTGCTTTCTTTTTCACCTGTGACAGAAAAGTTTTCACTCTTAAAGGAACTATTAATTTTAATATCATCTTTCTTAAATCGCAATTCAATATTGATCAAAATCCTGGATGAGTTTTTAAAATGAATTATCCTCTGAAAGACACCAGACATGGTGAATGTTGAGTTTAGTTTTGAAAGGAAAAAAAAAAATTAAAACACTTACCTTCACCGATATCTAATCTATAAAGAACAATAGAGTCTTTATAATATTATCATTTTGAAGAATGTTTCATCACAAAGGTGATATAATCTTTCTATTGACTATCCCCACCTTTTGTAGATAATAATTTTTCAAAGATATGATTTAAGCATATCCTAAAATATCACTTTTGTGTATCGCATTTATGAAAGGTTCTATAATAGCAACAAAGAATAAAGATATTTTTTTAAGGCTTTCGACATCTAAAATAAGGTTACTACGTCGTAAAATTTTTAAATCTAATTCAAATATTTCTTTTTTGAAAAAACAGGATATATTTTCGCTTTGCAATAATTGAATTTATTATTTGTGAGGTTTTTTCTGTCTTATTTTTGTATGTATTTATTTTCCTATTTGTATCAATTTATCTATTTTTGTATATTAATCTATAGATATTCTTATAAACTTATTTTTTTACTACAATGGCATCACTCAACTCAATAAACACGAATCTCAAACAATATAAATAAATAAATAAATGAAAAGGTAGGGATAAAAAAACACTTATCATCGTGAATATTTGTTATCAATATTAGGAATCAGTTAAGATTTACAGAAAATTTAATTAAAATTGCCTTGTTACTACAGCGTTAGAACTGTTGCCACAAGTGTCAAAATATTGGCAATATTTTATGCAAAATTTTTAATCACGAGTCTTAATGGCAAGTTAGGGTGATTCAAAATAGCATGGATAAAATGAAAAGACAACGCAAGCTTATAAAAAGAATAAAAGCAACAAAAAAAAAGAAAAGGTAGGGATTAAAAAATACACTTTACGATCGTATATATTTGTTATAAATTTTAGAAATCGTTGTACTATGTTGGGGATTTACAGAAAATTTCTTTAAAATTTTCTCGTTACTCCAGCGTTAGAACTGTTGCCACAAGTGTCAAAAGATTTGCAATTTTTTATACTAAATTTTTAAAGCAAAATTTTTAATCACGAGTCCTAATTACGGCAAATTAGGGTGATTCAAAATAGCATGGATAAAATGAAAAGACAAAGCAATCTTAGGAAAAGAATAAAAGTACAAAAAAATCGTATAGGAATATCGAGCCATTAACACTAGCGCATTATTTATAATAACAAAAAAACAAATAAAAATCATTCTACATTATCTTATTTATGTTGTATCTCAACAAATGCTACGCATCTACGAACAATGAAGATTAGTGACTATAGATTCGTAGCATCTTCTGATCTATACTACTATAGAATATATACAAAGTTTTTTTCGAAACACCATCATGAGACAGTAAATTTGAGAAAGCATTCTCTAATATAATAGCATCTGATGCCTCCAACTGTAGAGTTAAACTGCAAAAATATTGGTTGTAGAGATGCCGTGGATGGCTAGAACTGTAGGAAGAAATGACTAATAAATAAATAAAAATCTATAAAAAGAAATTCAATTTAGCAACTTTTTCTAGCATATTTCTTTCTGTTTACTTTTGTAAGTTAATGCAAAGAAAGTCCCCGCTTTAAATATGAATAATTTGCAATGTAAATCATGGTAGTTTGGGTTTAAGGTTGTTTTTCGAAGGCTCCGTCGTAATATGAAATGCTTTTTTTGTGAATAATGTGTAATTTTTAAACTGCTGTTTTTTTGCAAGTGGTGTTTATGACTGTTACGTCATGTTTACCTCATCTAATGGAGTCAATATCGAGAAAAGTCATAGTACTGTGAAAATGAAAAGCGTTTGCTGTCTTTTTTTATTATAATTTTTTTTAAACTCTTACGCTGCATTACCTAGTCTGATAAAAATTTTCAAAAACTGTGAATAGGGCAGTGATTTTGATAATTTTCTACTGCGTGGAAAAATGGCGCTAAATTAGCGATTTGAAGGCCAGAGTGGCGAATTTTATTTTTTATAAAATCTGAGAGCATAAATTGGTCCGAAAAAACAGGAACACTTAAGCCTTACATATTGCGAAGGGAGGGGGGACGAACACAAAATTTTTAAAACTAATATTTATACATTAAAGCATAAATGTTAAGAAAACATATTCTCAATTACTTCACAATTTGTCAGCTATAAATATGCTTCAAGCGATATTCTGTGATTAGTTTTTTTTGTTTGATATAATCTGTTTACGAATCGAACAAATAATATTCAGCTTTCAAAAATTCACATAAACATAACTTTTTCAACCGAAAATATTAAAACTGATTGCTAAGTTTTTTTTCTCTTTAGAATTTAATTCAGTGAAGTAAAATTTTTTTTTATCTGAAATAATCATAAATATCTGATTTTCTTTTACTTAAAGTAGTAGCATGCTATGCCATGCTTATTATTATTTATTTATTTTTTGATACTGGAATTTATAGCTTTTATTCAAATTTACATCTCATATAAAGCGCATAAATAAGTATAAAAGCTCATATACAGTATATAAATAAACTAAACATGTACTGGTGTATGATCAGAGTGTTAGGAATAACTAATAAATTATATCACAAGACATTATGTGTGTATATCATACATATGTATTTGTTAGACTAATTTAAAAGACGAAATTATCTGTAAAATGAGATAAAATTTTACACCTGCTTTCTACTTTTATAAACATATTTAAATAGAAATGACTCTCGGAACGTTATTTGTTTAAGAGACAAATAATAGTATACATATCCTTTGACAGTAGCATTTATTACAATTACATCCAGTAATATTCAATTCATCCAGTATATTGTACCAAAGATAAGTAAAGAAAAGGCTTATAGCAACTTCACTTACATATAGAATATTCTTATAAAAATTTTACTTACGTATAGAGTCACTAATTTTTATGAAAGAATATTCTTATAGCAATTTCGCCTGCGTTTAGAGTCGCTAATTTTATCTGTTTGATCTCTAGGTTTTCTAGTTCATACCATAGCGCTTCACTAACACCGCCAATTTTGGCTCGTTGACTGAAAGTTCTTCAAATGATTCCATTTTGACCACAGTTTTGAAGTTTTCCCATATGAATTTCAGTATACTTTCTTTAAATGATTCATCACCATGTCGATTGGCCAAACTCAGCATCTGGCACGCAGTATCTACTTTCAGATGTACCATCAGCAATTCCGTTTTACAAGCATCGCGGAGCGACAAAACTTCATATTTGTCAGCAGCATAATAGAGGTCGCAAGCGTCGTCAAAGTCATGAATTATCGTCACTCCAGAGTAGAGATACAGCAAGAGATCGTTCATTATTTCAGCTCGTATATCCGTGTTAGCTATGATATTCCTTGCAGATTCGCTTGTATCATGATTGAACATTCTGTCAAATACTGGTGATCTTGCTTGCAGAATGTTTCTGTGCGATTTGATCTTTACACCACTAACATCTAACGTGACATCTGAGGCAATAGTTTGATGCAAAATCTTTGAGAAGTCATTCGAAAGCTCTTGCAGTTCTTCCAATTCAAAGTTATATGGAGTTAAACTTTCGGAGAAATCTGATAGAGTAATATTCTTAAACTCTAAGTAACAAATTATTTTGATGGGAAATTGATGAGGCGTGAAATATTTTGGCTCATGAAATAAATTAATAGGGTAATAATCACCAGCATGACCTTTTATGGAAGATTTAACAATATAATCAAGGCAGCTGTCATTCGCATCCAGTACAAGGCACGTAGAACCTGTAAATAGGTCGACTGATTTTACTTTACAAACTAGCATAAAAGAATCATGGTAATTGAGTAATTGCAGATGGTTGCGTTCCCTTTTACCCGTGACCGAAAAGTTTTCACTGAGAAAAGAACTAAAAGTTTGAATATAGTCGTGGTTAAAACGCAATTCAATATTGATCAAAATCCTGGATGAGTTTTTAAAATAAGTTATCCTCTGATAGACGTCGGACATGATGAATGTTGAGTTTAGTTTTGAAAAGGAAAAAATAAATGATTATTTTAAAACAGCTCCCTTCATCGATATCTCATCTATAAAGGACACTGACGTCTAATATTATCTTTTCGCGGAATGTTTCAACACCAAGCTGATATGAATCTCCTATTAACTATCCATCCCTTTTTTAGATAATAATGTTTACAGCTATAAAATGCATTAACTAAAGTATAATTTTCGTGTTATCGCATTCGCATCTCAAAGGTTCAATAATAACAACATAGAATAAAAGCTACTTAGTTTAGGGTTTCAGACATTGAAAAATCGAAAATAACGTTAATACGTGGTAGAAATTTTGGTTTCCAGTTCAAATACTTTTTTTTAAAAAATAGAATAGCATGTATTTTTGTTTTGCAATAATTAAATGTATTATTTTTGAGTTTATTTCTGTCCTTTTTATGTATTTATATACCTTATTAGTACCAATTTATTTATTTCTGTTTATCAATCTTTTTATTATACCATTAACTTGTTTTTACTACAATGGCATCACTCAACTCAGTAAACACGAATCTCAAACAAAATAAATAAATGAAAAGGTAGGAATAAAAAAACACTTATCATCGTATATATTTGTTATATATATATCAGGAATCACTATACTATGTTGAGGATTTACAAAAAAATTTAATAAAAATTATCTTGTTACATCAGCGCTAGAACTGTTGCCACAAGTGTCTAAAGATTGGCAATTTATGCAAAATGTTTAATCACGAGTCTTAATTAGGGCAAATTAGGGTGATTTGAAATAGCAAGGCGTAAATGAAAAGTCTAAGCAAGCTTATGAATAGAATAAAAGTAAAAAATAAAATAAGAACTCTGATGAATATAGAGCCACCAACACTAGAGGAAGAGGCAAATACAAAGACAATAAAAAAATTTAAAAAATTATTCCACATTATCTTTTTATGCTGTATTTCAACAACTGCTACGAATCTACGAACAATGAAGATTACTGATCATGGATTCGTAGCATCTTATGATCAATACTACTGTATAGAAGATAGACTAAGTTTTTTTCTAAACACCATCATGAGACTGTATATTTGAGAAAGCATTCTCTAACATTATTGAATCTGATGTCTCCAACTGTAGAGCTAAACTGTAAAAATATTGGTTGTAGAGATGCCATGGATGGCTAGAACTGTAGGACGAAATGACTAATAAATAAAAAAAATCTAGAGGAAGAAATTAAATTTAGAAACTTTTTCTAGCAAATTTCTTTCAGTTTACTTCTGAAAATTAATGCAAATAATGTTTTCGCTTTAAATATGAATAATTTATTTATTATTTATTTATTTATTAATTTATTTATTAATTTATTTATTATTTATTTATTTATTTATTTGTAAATCATGGTAGTATCGGTCTGAGAATGTTTTTCGACGGCTACGTCGTAATATAAAATGCTTTTTTTTTTTTTCNAGCGGAGTTGTGAATACTAATTCATTAAAGTACATTTTTTTTTTTTTTTTCTTTTTTTTTTTTGCTAATAATATGATCTTTTTATAACTGCTGTTAGTTTGCAACTGTTACTTATGACTGTTATTTCTGTTTAGGCTATCTAAAGCCGTCTTGGTCTGCGCTTATATTGAAAATGGCGTAAAACATCAATATGGAAAAAAGCCACAGTTTTGTAAAAATGATAAGCGTTTGTGGTCTAATTTTTTAATATTTAAAAACTTACTCCAATGCTGTATTCCCTGGGCTCATAAAAATTTCCGAAAACTGAGAATAAGGCAGTGATTTTTGATAATTTTCAGATAGGTAGAAAAATTTCGTCAAATTGGCTATTTTTTAAAAAAAGGATAGAAGGATTTCATTGGATAGGAAGGGGTGGTCCAGTTGCCTGGCCACTGCGTTCTCCTGATTTAACCTGCTTGGATTTTTTCTTTTGGGGTCATATTAAAAGCCAATGTACGCCGAAGCTAATGTACGCCGATCGATGCGCAGTGGCTGTGAATCTTGTATCGATGTTGGTGGCTGCTCTTTCTCGTACCTCTTGTAAACTGTTGATAAATTTTTATTTTCTTTTGTCTTTATTTGTCTTTTCAGTTACCTCTGATTCATACTGCTTTACAAGCTAGTGCTTTAATGTGCCATTACCTCATACACATTCCTATCCGAAATATGCTTCTTTATGTCCCCTCTACCTACCTTAACAATTTTGACATATATTTTAGGACCACCCTGTGTATAAAAATAAATTGACAGTTTCTACCACTTTCTATATTTTTAGTTGCCCGTAGCAACCCAGTGGTTGCAATCGATCACTCGAAGGGGGAGGAGTCTCCAAGCTGTTTAATTTTCTCTGTAACATGGTGACGACCGTCAAGGGGGAAAAAACAGCAGATTAATTTTTGGTGTGGCTAACTTGGTCGGCTCATTCATTGTTATAATTTTAATTCTATTAGTATCTAATCAGTGTTGGCTTCAACTATAACTACATAGTTTTTAACTAAGTTGCGTTGAATAAAATAAATCAAACCAGTATTATTACGCCCACTAACAAATAGTTACACAAAATAGTTTGGCTGCCAGTTTTATCTTTTTTACTCTCATTTATAACCGTCGTTGAACAGCCTACCAATTTTTGGGTTTACGACCACTAATGTTCAACTCTGTAGTCTCGTAATTTTGAAAGAATCCAGAAGACAAGGAAACTCCTGGATCAGTACCCCCAGAGGTATTGATTTGTTATGGGGACACGGAGGATTTTACGACTCGACAGCTTTAACGTGCATCAGTCACCATTTACAACGGCCGGCCATTTATTCGGCCGGCGGGAATCGAACCTACGAACTGCGATCGTCAGCATGAGTAAATGTTGTTGGCAGTTATGGCAAGAGGTGAGATTGTTCCTTTTTTTCCAGTGGCTCCATCTATGGCCGAGAATTCGACTTTTTCCACGCCCGTTTATAGGGCGGACCCATTCATACATCCAAAGATCGTAAGTTTTGACCTGTACCACAGTACGATCAATATCTTATTCAGTACCCCCCGAGGTATTAATTTGTTATGTGAAGATAGAAGACTTTGTGATCAGACAGATTTAACGTGCACCAGTCACCATTTACCACACGGGCGAGTTTTCAACCGGTTAGATTCAAACTCCTGTTCTCATGAACGTGAGTCCAATGCCCTGCCAACCAGACAGGGTGCGTAAATATATGCCTCAAGTAATGTTGTTAATCGAAATCGGTAACGAGGTTCGAACGTAAAGAGTTATGCTTGGAGAGGAAACAGCGCTGTTCAAAGCCACTGTTTGGTTAAGATTTTGGACAAAGTTGAGGCAAATAATTACGTTTTGGCTGTAAGCTTGTTTAACACAACGGCACAAAAAAGAAAAGCTAATTATGCATAGCTTGCCCATCTGGCCAAACGGTATATAACTACATACTAAAGTTGCGAATATTAGACAGATTTTGCCAGTTTTTTAAAGGGTTTTGAATAACTCACTTAAAGTGGTGAATTATATAAGCTTACGAATTTTTTTGAAATAGTGGTGGATAAAAATCTACTAAATTGAATTTATTAAACCAAGAATCACAATTAATAAACTACCACTTGAAAATATTTATTCGCCACCCGGAGCAATTTGACATCTCTGTGTATATAAATAAAACTATTTTTGTGTGTTCTATATTGCATTAATTTCTTCAAACCATTTTAGTAACGATAATAATACAAAAATATTAAAAATTTACACTTATTCTGTGTTTCTAATAATCTTGACTTCCTCGGTCACCGGTGACCCTAAGACAAATTCAGTGCCAGTCACCGGTGACCTCCATAACATTCAACGTTTTAAAGAACCCAAATTTAGATACAATAAATAATAATATTTCATATTAAAATATTCTTTTATTCTTTAATGATTGGAAAAAGCTTTTTTTTCTCGTAATAGATTTCGGACTGACTTGAGAAAACAAATGTGTACTGAACATTAAATAATCAATGACGTGACTATTATTTCCATTTCTTACACTGTTTTTTGAAAGTGATGGTTAATTTCTCCGCATTCAGGGCTGCAGTTGGATAAAACACTTAGGGGAACTCATCTCTTTATAAGGTATATATCATAGTTCACTGATTTTTGCTAGGTAAAAAAAAGACCAGTTTTAATTACTTAATTTAAATAAAACCAGATAATTATTTAAAATAAAAAGGACTTTTGCTGCCAACTTGCATTATTTTTATCTTCGGTGTATTCGTCATAAAAGCAGGGCCTGATTATAGCCTAGGCCCAATAGGCATTGGCCTAGAGCCCACAATTTCTGAGGGGCCTCAAAAATTAGTAACAAGTCTAATGAAAGTTGGGCTAGCTATGTGTTGGTTTAAGTGCTAAATGAAAAATGATTCCAGCTTACAATAAAAAATTAATCATCTAATCAGTGACTTTTAGCAAAAATCCCTGATTTCAATTGTTTGTGGTGACCAAACTATTTTTATTTTGACATAACATTGTTTTGTTGTTTGATATTTTCACTTATCATATTTAAATTTTTATTTATGTTATCATTTCACTTCGCAAAATAATAATGGTAATAATAAATAAATAAAAAAAAATTAAAAGGAAAAGAAATAATTTTTTTCAAAGTTTTTAACTTTTTTACTACAATTGTAACTCTTTTTGCTAATTTTATTTTGGCGTACGGTGTCCCCCCCCCCCAACTACAGCACTGCAAACACTGATGTCAATTTTAAGGTTCAGCATCAATTTCAGATATACAAAGTTTTTAATGGATCACCACTGCACGGCACACAGTCCTTTACCAAATTGTTGTTGTAGTTGCGGTTTATTTACGTCGCACTAGAGCTGCACAATGGGCTATTGGCGACGGTCTGGGAAACATCCCGGAGGATGATCCGAAGACATGCCATCACAATTTTGATCCTCTGCAGAGGGGTGGCAGCACCGCTTCGGTAGCCCGACGACCTGCACGCGAAGTCGAGCACTTTACGGTAGAACAGTTTAACGAGGACCAATACCGCACAC